TAGTGTTGCCAACTCTAAAAATTTTCACCCTGGATATTTACATAAATTCAGGCCCAATTTCCTGGAGAATCCTGGAGAAATAATTTATTAATTTAAATTAACAGAAAACAATATTTATGAAGATTTTAATGTATAATTCAAAAAAAGTGAGTTTATATAAATTTAATTAATAGTAATTTAATTATAATGCAATAAATTTTTTTATACTTGTTTACTAAATTAACCTTTTTAAATTTTTAAAATTTATAGAAAACTTTAGTAACATAGATTTGAATTTTTTATAATATGGAATATTTTATGTTATTATTTTATCATTTATTATATTAAATGGAGTGAAATTAAATGATTTTTATCACACGGACTACGTTATGTTCTGTTTATATTATTTTAACCATACTATTGCATTATTATTAAATATTTGTTAACATTACTATATTATCAATAATCCTATTATTTTATATAATATAATATTTAGGTCTAAAATAGTCGATAAATGTTTCATTAAAATTATTATTTATTTAGTTTAACTCTATAGTAAAATTGATTAGTTTAGAAAATCAAAAGTAACTCTATTTATTATACAAAAGTGATATAATCTTATATAGAAACATGTATTTTTAGTTTAAAAATGTTAAGAATTTTTTCCTGGAGTTCTCCATATCCAGGCCAGACTTCAAACTGAAGTCTGTGTTGAACTCCCGATTCCTGGAGACTTCAGGCGAAAACTGGAGGGTTGGCAACACTAGATATGTGTCCTATGGTATTGTACAATAAATGGATGATACGGTTAGTGATCAGGGTAATTATGATGAGGGCATCCATTGTGCACTAATGGCCCACTAATAGTAATGGTTGACACTTAAGATTCTGTACGACTGATAAAACTAATTGCTTGACCACTGACTGTGTGGTCAGTGCAATGTCCGCATGACATTCACCCCACACACCAATCAGTATTCAAAGCATATTCGTGAATAATAGTGGGTTTTGCATTGCACTGGTCAGGGTAGGGTTAAGTAGACACTGTCTACTAGACAGTCACATACACAGGTTAATAGAATACCTGGGTTGCTTGGTCATTTACGAAATATTCATAAGAATTGAGACATAGAGTGGTGAGAATGGAAATTCTGCAATGAGTAATGTATTGCAATGTTTGTCTGGTATTAGTGCCATATTCTTCAGTTAAGAATCTTAACAAACTTGTATTCAAATGAATGCATCATTTTATTACTATTACTATATTCTAGTAATAACTACAATTTAATATTACTGTTGTATTGAATTATTGTACAATTAATAGATTGATTATTGAGATACAATTAATGCATTTATAATTAAAGATAAAAATCTGAGACTTTGAGATTGCAATGGAGGGTCATTGTGGTGAGTGTGACACGACCACAAATTAAACAAATTTATTTGTAAGTGTTTGTTTCAATGTGAATAAAATAATTAGTCACTTTTCCATAGGTTTTTATTATCTAATCGGCTTGCAAAAGCTAGATGTGACTCTAGAAGAAGCCCCGAATTATATACCATTGTCTATAACTAAATCACAATTTTTACTCATTATTATCAAACAAATGTATTTTCTAAACTTTAGATTCCAAATAACAGATCAGTTCAAAAGTTATAAAACATATTCATAAACTGTACTTGAACAATACAACAAATCCAACACATAATCATGAATAATAAGAAGACAATGTAAGTCTTATACTATAAGTGGTGGGTTAAGAATTTACAAAATGATCTAATACAGTATACAGTATCAGGGACAATAAAACTTACACAAAAGTTAAGAATAAGAATGTGCAATATACAGAATTCACACAATTATATAATCGTATGTTAAATAACTAATGTAAGTACATTAAAACAATGGAAAAATTAACAACAGATTAATCAATGTTTTGAACATGTCATGACAGTTAATTTGATTCTTATTTGATTTACATTTATATTAATGTTAGAAATATAATGAATGTCTAATAAGTGGTAATTGTGTGCAATATTTACAGAACCCATACAATAACCAGAAGTTTTTTAATATTTATGATAATATGGGATCAAATGGACTATAATTTGAATGAATACTTGTAATCACTTTTCTACAAGTATTGTGCGATAATGTGATGAATGTCTGGTTGGACACAATCCATGGACACAATCCATGGACACAATCCATGGACCCATCGGTGCAGTGAATGTCATCCGTGAGAGTGAGTGAGTGAATGGGTTTCCCAACGATTCACTCATTTATTGCGCAAAAGCCATGAATTGATACAAAAATGGCTTTGAATTGATTGGCAAACCATTAGACCATCAGATGGTATATAAGTAACGGTTGTCCTCAACACAATTGATGGCCACAAATGGCTGTCTTTCTGGTGAATACCTGTAAATTCAACTCTTGTGGCATCACTTTCCCCACTCTCACTGAACTCATCCGACACATCGAAGACACACATTTGGGTCCGAGCATACAATTTATTGATTACATTCATGTAATTTTGTTACCTTTTTAATTGTTGTCTAATTAGTTACAAAACTTGTACAGTACTGTCAATTAAACTAAGAATAAACTAAATGTAAATATAATTACAATTAAATATAATGAATGTCTAATACAGTGGTAAATGTGTACAGAACTCATACAATAACCAGAAGTTTGTTTAATATTTATGATACTATGGGATCAAATGGACTATAATTTGAATGAATACTTGTAATCACTTTTCGACAAGTATTGTGCGATAATGTGATGAATGTCTGGTTGGACACAATCCATGGACCCATCGGTGCAGTGAATGTCATCCGTGAGAGTGAGTGAGTGAAGGGTTTCCCAACGATTCACTCATTTATTGCGCAAAAGCCATGAATTGATACAAAAATGGCTTTGAATTGATTGGCAAACCATTAGACCATCAGATGGTATATCAGTAACGGTTGTCTTCAACACAATTGATGGCCACAAATGGCTGTCTTTCTGGTGAATACCTGTAAATTCAACTCTTGTGGCATCACTTTCCCCACTCTCACTGAACTCATCCGACACATCGAAGACACACATTTGGGTCCGATTCACACCAAACACTCGCATCCCTTTCCACCCGACCCCTCACCCCATCCCACCTCTTGTTTACTGAGACCATCATATTAATGGCAATTCACCTCTTTTACAGACTTTGATCCGCGAGTCATAGAAGAACATGAGTCACAACAGCCGTCATGTCTTCCAATCAGTTATATCCTGAGGTTTGTGTCATTCAATCATTTGTGGCTTTAATTGTGTCTAAGATTACAATGAATGGCAAAACAGGGTATTCGCCGACAATTGTCGCAAAGAATCGGTGAATGGAAGCCATAATCCGATGCGGAAGGGGATCCGAACCCATTCACCCACTCTCTCCCTGTCCAGCACTACGCCCACCGGTCAGGCAATCGATGGTACAGTTAGTTGTCTAATGAATTGCGTCCACAAACAGGTAGTGAAATGGATGAAGAAGACAATGTGTCCGACACGGGCGACAGTAGTATTGATTCGTGGGTTAACCATAATGTGGACAACGACTCGGCCAATGCTATACTCAAGTGAGACCATCACTGCCTTTCAATTGACACAATGTCTTGACGTATGACTTGTCAACAGAATATTGAGTCCGCCATCGACTCAGACGACTAGTGGTACGGCTTTGGATGAGAAGGACAGGCCTTATGTGTGCACTGAAGGCAACTGCAAGAAGAAGGTTAGCTATTAAGCCATGAATAAGAAATCACTTTTAATAACAATTAGTAAAACTAAATTCAATTCTAAGAGTAAGTAATGTTATGTAAAGTCAAAACTATTCACATAATTGGGTAACAAAACTACGATAATTGAATGCAGTGTCCGATTCAGTTCACTATACCTGGTATTACTGTACACTGATATTCATTATAATGAATGACCCCTTAATCAGGACTGAGTATTGCGTCCATTTTAACTGTCAGTCGAATTGATTCACCAAAGTTTTGTATATAACAATGGATCCAAACGGCACGGACTCGACTTTGTCTGTCAAAAAAGAGTATGAAAAAGGCGTACATCTCTTGAGACAAGCGCTTGACGTCTACGACAGCGGTAATAAGGTTCGGCCCCGAGTTGGTGTACAACTTGGAAACCACCGCTCACTTCCTCCTCATCCACCACTTCATCCGACTCTTAGAATTGAATTTAGTCTTAATATTACTTATTGTTATTCATTACAATTAATTCATTTAATCATTATATAGCTGTATTTCAATTGTTTTATAATTATATTTTCATTTTGCCATTATTTGCTTATTACTTGACCCTGCTTATGTGCTTAAGTATCGTAATTCAAATGGATTGAAGTATCACACGAGGAATATCCACAGAAACAATCCAATCGCTCATAAACCAAAGGATCCCACAATCAGGTATGCAATTGGACTCATATATGCACTGCCAATGAGTTGACCACTGGTTGTGATTGCAGTCAACCGGCACCTAAAGAGTACAAATGTGGTGATTGCGGGAAAGTGTATAAGACTTCTCATGGCCTCAAACATCACCGAAACACTCATCACTCAAACATGTTAACCAAAACTCAAGCGCAGACACAAACGCAGGGTCAATTGTCAACTCAATTATCACCGACAGTTCAAACGCAAACCACTCAGACTTCGAGTTCAGTACAAACGACGACCACTTTGAT